AAAAAAGTCTGCTATTTTGGAGATTTTTTGAGAAATAGGATGTATGTGAAGTCTATGGAAGATATAGATGGAGGGAAGGACGGAAAAGAGATGAGGGATGACCATAAGGTATTTGGACTGAGCAGCTTATAAGGATGAATTGTTCTTCATTGGGATGTAAAGGACTGTGGAAAGGGATTTGCAAAATCATTTTTTCAGGCTCATTTTTTAGTCTGTTTGTTTCTTTTATGAGCCAGAGAGAAAAACAGAGGTAGAGAGACATCACCTCCAATGGAGCCTTAAGGCCATGGCCCAGTCCTAGCTTCAGCTAGCTCTGACTCACAGACACAAACATGCTCAACACACTCAAAGTCTCCAGGCATGGAACTTCCCAAGTGGGTCAGCCTTGCAGAACTTTGCAGTTTACCACTGCATCACCATCTAGTCTCTTGTTTTTTTTTTTTTAGTTTTTGACAGGTTAAGTGATTGACTGTATGAGTCTGGAGTTTATGAAGAAGGTCTGAGTTTCAGCTTCAAATTTGGAATTTTTCAGCATTTTGGTAAGCTATGAGACAGATAAAAACACTAAACAAATTTAGACATATGATCATTAGAATTTTTTTAGAAATTAAATCCAGGTGATGAAGAGGAGGATATAAAAGGAAATTAATGGAGAGTTAAAAGAGTTAAAAAAAAAAAAAAAGTCATATAAGTACAGTGTGGTGTCCTGGAAGGCAAGTGAACAAAGTATCATGAGGAAGTGGCATTGGTCAGCTGTGTGCTAAAGTTAAGCCAAAGTGGGGACTTCCGTTTAGCAATATGGAGATTGTTAGAGAGGTCTGAGGCTGACTAAAGTGACATCAGTGAAGAACAGTAGAAGAGAATTGGAAATTTCTATGTGCAGACAGCTATTTCAAATTTTGCTTTGGCAAAAAGGCAAGAAATAGTGTGGTTCCTCTTAGGACAAGTGTGTCTTGAGGAGATTTTTGTTTCTGTTTGATGGAAGAAATAATAACATACTTAGAGATTGACCTTCCTGTGTGTATCTGGGGATTAGATGGCAGATATTGACAAAGATCTGAGGGTACAGGAGTTTTAATTGGAAATAAAGGCTGCATGAACAGATCACTTTGGACTTTGGGAAAAGCCAGTGCTCCCCTGGGTGACATGAGAATACTGGCCCTTCAGAAAGAGAACAGAAGGATGCTAGAAACTGAAGCATCAGGAGAGGAAGACATCCAGATCAAATGTTGCCTATTTTCATTTTGCAGAAGGTTGAGTATGGCAGCCCCTGAGGTGTCAGTGGAAATTCTCCCACATTCCACAGAAGTTTACTTCAGTAAAACCTAAACAAAAGTATTTTATTAGGATTCCTTCTTGAATCTTCAATTCTTCTGTGGTACAGATAATTCTGAATGGGCTTAAAAGTCAGGTAGGCAGAGGAGAAGGGATTGCTTCATGGTCATCTACCCTCGGGGGTGATTTCCCACTTTCTGACTCTGCTCTCCCTGTGTCTCCTGTGTGCACACAAAAATCTCTCAAATAAAAAGGCAGGGAGGGGGAACCAGCAGTTAGCGTAATGACTATGTTTCTGGACTTCCACATAGTCGACCACGGTTCGCATCCCGGACCCAGTGGCTTAAAACTCACACTGGGCATGTGTGCGTGCGTGTCCAAGATCCTGAGAGGAGAATGGAGGAGAAGGGATTGCGGCGTGACCATCCCCCCGGGGGGTGATTTCTCACTTTCTGTCTCTGTTTCTCTCTGTCTAGAGAGTGCACGCGCCCTATAGCAAAAACCTCTAAAAAAAAAAAAAAGGCAGGGAGGGAAGGCCATATCAATGCATTATATGCTTCAGAAACCACAAGACTTCTGTTGAGGGACTCAGACAGTGGTTTTTGTTAAGTAATGTAGCTCTGTAACACTGTCTTCTGGGAACACTGTAGTGTTCTGACAGATGAAGTAATCTAGTTAACAAGGACCTACAACATGATTTAAGTGAACCATCAACACCGAAGTCTGTGTATATTGTAGATGCTGAGGGGAAGGCCAGATGCACAGAGTTCCTTTTATCAGCCAGTGTCTTTGGGGCCAATGATTATTGGCTGTCTGGGCACCATAGATCATGGAGCAGATCCTTTGCTTTCCCAGAGTAGAGACTTTATTTCATTCATTCATCCAGACTAGATTTCACAGAATTCTTTTCAATTGTGGGACTGTGAGACAGACTAGGGAGAGATTATGAAAGTGCTCAGATCTCACTGTTACCATGCATAAGAGGAGTCATATATTCCATGTATTTCCAAAACGTGAAGATCATATTCTTTTTTTTAATTTTTTTTTAAATTTTTGCCCAATGGATTCTGTATTCTCTGGAGAAGTACACACAACACACACACACACACAGAGAGAGAGAGAGAGAGAGAGAGAGAGTGAGAAAGTATCCTTGAGTGGAAATGATCGTGCTGCAATCCCTTCTCCATTCCTCCATTCTGTTGAGGTTATGGACACATGTATACATGTGCCTCGTATGTTTTTCAAGCTCCCTCCCTGGTGCAAGACTTGAACCGCATGGTTGAAATAGTAGGAATCCAGTCACCTTAACAACCAGGCCACAGGCTGGCTCAAGTTTACATACTTTAGAGCATAACACCCTCATGGATGAACATGATGCAGTCTCTCTTCTTACAGTTTTTCTTTTTAGGAAACAGTTACAGTGTAGTTTGAATCTCTGAGTTGGAAATTTAAAAGACTAGTTCCCAACTGTTATTTGGTCTGTAACCTTGGCAAATGAAATCTCTGAAATACTGTCTTCTATTATTTTATAAATGAGTATAATATTGTCACAGTGTTTACTCTAAGTTCGTGTGGCTTAATGTATGGAAAAACTGTGAAGTGTCTTAACAAGAAAAGGTATAATGACTTATCAGATGAGTTATCCATTTTAAGCTTTCATATCATACTTCTGATTGATGGTTTACTTTTTTGTTTTTGCAATTTTTTAATGTTCTTTTGCTATAGGTGCATGTGCTCTCCACAGAAAGAGAGAGAGAGAAAGAGAGAGAGAGAGAGAGGAGAAAGTGAGAAATCACTCCCCAGTAGGGATAGCCGTGTCATAATATTTTCTTCTTCATTCTCCTTTCAGGATTTTGGGCACACATATGTGCCTGGCATGATTTTCAAGCCACCAACAGGTCTGGGACTCGAATTGTGCAGTCACCCATGTGGGATCCAATGCCTTAATCTCATGCCACCTGCTAGACCCCTAGACTCATAAACTTAATAATACCATGCTTTGATTCCTCATGTATCTGTCACCCAGTCCACAGTAATGACTATCTCTATTGATAGGATGTGCATTTGTTCCTTAATCAACTGTATAGTGCATAACATGGCACTGCCAGTGAGGGTATCTCTGACCCCATATTCCTGCTTTGTCTTACTATACAGAATTGAAATTAGGATTATGGTATAAAAATGATGATAAAAATAATACTTCTACCCAATTTAGGAATTTATTTTTCTTCATAGAATCTGAACTATTAAACTTCACTCTGGCTGGATGATTAGAAAGATATAGTTATGATTATTTTTATACCAGAATAATCTTTCATTATTAATCCATTTTAAGTCTTATCTCAAATCAGTTCATCAGTGCTACCAATTAAAAACTAAAAATGCCTGTGCTCAATTTCAAGAATTAAAAATAATGTCTTGGGAGTAGCATTTCTTTTCTGTAGTGAGAAGATTGTTGGATTTTCCAATTAAAGAAGTCTCCATACTGGAAATGAGTAGTCAATTATGAAAATTATTTTTGAATAGCCAATTTACATATCCCTAATTGTGTTCATTTCTTTTGAAAGACTGAACTTGGAATTCATGATGTTTTGATTGGTTACTCCTGTGCTTTTGTTATTAATACTATTGCCAACAAGGCTCCCCTATGAATGGGGCTTTGAACGCCTTTCCCAAATACATGTTTGAATCATAAGTAGGTTTGTTTTATTTAATGAATGGAAAATATCTAAAGATTTACAAGTAGTTTTCAAATTTACATATGCGACCCTTCATCAAATTGACAATACTATTCCAGAACTGCCTTCTGCACACACACTTGGACTTTTGTACATGAGTTGATGAGAAACACTTGAAGATCGTCAATGGTGATGCTATCTGTTGGCAAAAAAAATGCATTAGCAAGGGGACAGCCCTCGCTCTTCCTATATCAGTGTCTGCATGATTACTTGGATACTGTTTTTTTAATATTGTGCTCTCATTTTAATGAAAAATGAACTGGAAAAAGTTAATTGAAAGTTTATATATGAATGTTAAGCACAACTCTTAGTGAAGTAAAATTGACATGCAAATGGGAATAATTAGGCATTGAACTTAGCTTTCATTGGATTTAAACCAGTCTACATGGAGATAATCATGAAGGAAAAGACCAAAATTAAAGACATGCAAAAATGTGTTCTCTATATAGACTAGATAAAGAAAAATTATATGTATTTACATGTGTGATATATACACATATCGTGTGTATGTATTTATTTAGATGGTTTCTATACTAAGGACAGATTGAATTAGGAATTGTGTAATGTGTTTTAACTCTCTGAGACTGGAAACTCCTCTTATGTCATATAATTCTATTGTTTAACTTTTGCATGTTCAACTTTCATTTTTGGGACCACTCTTAGAAGAAAAATAATGAAGCCTTTTTAGGCATATTGGAAATGATAGTGTAGGGAGTAGGAAACCGTTTCATTCCTTTAGGAGAGCTAGCTAAAATTGGTTCTCTAATTCAAGAATACACAAAATAAACAAACCATTCATTATTTCTTGGCCAGGGTGCCTATAATCATTATATTAGTGTACAATTAAGAGTCATGGCACAGTAACATTAAAGTTTAGATCTGAAGAATCCATTTTCTTTAAAACCAAAGATCACAATCAGCTAGATACAGTGTCTGTGTGATATGCGTGTCCTATAAAGTAATTAGTGTCATTGAACTTGTTTGTAGTTGATTGCTGTGTTTGACGAGCAAGAACCACTCCATAAGACGGAGAGCCCCAGTGGAAACCCTGCAGATCCACAGAGCCCAGATGCTATTGAGACGGAAGTAGCTGCCCAACTGGCTGTGTTTAAACCAATTGGTGGGGAAATTGAAGTAACCCCTTCTGCTCTGAAACTAGGTATGTGTATTTTTAGTGGTATGCTTTTCACCTAGCTGAAAAATGTATCATCTTGTTGCCTGTATGTTGCTTCTTTATAACTTTTACCCTATTAATATTTTTTCCTAAAAAGTAACTTGATTTATCTAGTCCTAAATCATTATTATTTTTTAATATAGTGCTTTGCAGCTGTTAATGCTCAGATAAGCAGATGCAGTTTTTTTCCTTGAATTGAAGGTGAATCTTAATTGCATGTCCTTGAAGTAATGTAGGAGGGTTTGGACTATAAAAGATGAGGTTTGTCTGGATCCTGTGAGGGTCAGTTATTTAAAAAAACTTTCTGTACTTTATCACCCATTTTGCCTGCTCCTCCTCTTTCTTTAACACTTGACTTTTCAAAAACAAATTTCTGGGAAATGTTTTGTCTTTTACACTTTCCAGCTTATACAGATTAAGATGTTCATAAAAATAAACAACCTGGGAAAATTGAAAAAGAAATCTCTTTTGGAACAAGCTGAGTTATCAAGGAATCCATACTAGAAATAAAGGTCACTTTCTTCATAGCTGTCCCCCTTTTCTTCCCAAACTCTAGATCTCAGCTTTTAGGGGAAAATATTTTACAGCTGGTTTTAAAATTTATTTCCTATTGATTTACTCAAGCAAGAACAGTTCACTTGTTCATTACTCATAATTGTTTTTTGTTATATTTGTATTGAAGATGTTTTTGTAGAAAGAGAATATCAATATTCTTCTAAAGGTTCAACCTATTTACAACTCCAAGGGAAATAACATGTCAGTTTTGGGTGATACCTCTTAGAGATAAATACAGGCCAGTTTAACAGCACAAATTTTTTGAAAATTCTCTAATATTTTAGTACTTAAAATAGTTGTTTTTTTTTCCTGTTGAATGTGTGCGCAACATTTTAAGACAACCCAAAGCATGCGTTAAAGGTTATTCTCAAGCCAGGAGAACAGAGACTACAAAACAAATAATTCTTTTCAAAGCAAAGCATATGCTTACAATAGTAAAACCTGTACATAACACTTGTTTTCCCATTTAAAGTAAAACTTGTATAACCGCAAGGTTGATTTTTCATACTATTCCATCAAATATTCATATCCTGTTCTGAGATTCTGGAAAGCATCTATAGTGCCCCTTTTCAAAGAAACAAATGGAAATTAATGACCTATGGTCTTCCTGGGTTTCCTCTCTTTCGGAACCAAGTTAGTGAGGCAGTCTGCTGTCACATGGATATCGGAGGGCTTTGTGGCAACTTCCCTTCATCTAGAGCCAGGCTTGTGGCTTCAGCAACCTTGCAGCCCCATCACTCATTTGCATAATGGATGCCTTTTTATCCATTATGCAAATACTATGAGAGGAAAATTAGGCAATAAGGGAAGACGAAAGGAGAAAATTGCTCTTGCTTGTTTTAATATTCTATTTATAAGCAAGCACTGTGATCTTCAAACGGCTGAACCTCAAGGTACCCCAGTGCCTGGGAATTTATTTTCACCTTTCTTTCATGAGCTTTCTCAGGGAAAAAAGTTTGGTTTTTTTCAGCTTTTCCACAATGTCTTTTGTTGGACCATCTGAGCACTATTACAGGGTTGAATGCAAAATAAATAAATAAGGCAAATTTCCTTTCTTTGAAGGTAGATTGTCTACTAATTTTATACTGAATTTTGGTAAAGCAGAGATAGAAAATAATATATATTAAATGGAGACCATTAATGAAGCATAAGGCTCAGTATTCTAAATCCTTTACTCATAATAACTCACTTAAGTCTCCTAATCCTTCTCATTTGAGTTTGTTTTTGGGTTTTTTTTTCCTTTTAAAAGATGAAGGAAAAGGCACAGAGATGTTTAGTAACTCATCCAGAATCACATAGCTTTTAGGTGGCAGATCCAGAATTTGAACACGCGTTGTCTTCTGTGTCAGGAGCCTGTTTTGCTGAGCTACCCCTGATATGCTAGTTATAAAACAATAAGTTACTATCTTTCATATGGTTTATTTGTGACTATATACTAAAACCCTAAAAACACTAAATTCCTTGGCTCACAAATCCCTTTTCACTTAGTAGTTTAGATTAAATGAGATTAGCTATCATTCACTTTCCAGTGGTAAATGATGCCTTCCCGCTATTTCCCCTGCAATCTTTGCATTGTCTTCGTTTGTCCTTTTTCTTCCAGTACCCCTGCTTCCCTCAGATCTTCAGCTTCCCTGTCCACATGCACTATAGTCAGCCAGAGCTTCGTCATCAATTGAATGTTTGCAGAGGCCTCTTGGTTAAGAGTGCCTGCATTCTCCAATCCCTGCTGTTGCCAGAGCTGCCTTTGTAAATCACAAATCTGATTATATAACTCCCCTGCTTAACAACCTGCAATGGCTCCTCATTGCCTTGAGCACCATGTCCAAACTCATTAACAAGCTGACGCAGATGGTTCCTCTGAATTAAATGGAGGAATTTGAGTAGGGTGAATGATGGGGAAAAAAAAAATTGTCCTTTATTCACCCTTCCTCAGGGTTCTAGGAAATTGAGTGTCGTTTATTTCTGGAACTTAAAAAGCTAAGAAAGACACATTTAATTAGGTTTTTTAGAGAGGGAAGTTAAAGAAGGAAGCAACACAGCCAGCTTTGGTCTCTGCCTATTCTGTTTTCCTGTTGTTCAGCCCAAAGCAGGATGTGGTTGTAGGCTGGGCACCCCAGGATGGAGGGCTAAAGTTGGCAGTGCATGTTGTATTCATGACTCTTCCTGGAGTGTGACCTGGTTGTGCTGTCAGGCCCACCCTGAGATCCTGTTGGGATGAAGAATGGGAGGGACCTATCAGAGGAGGAGAAGCAGTTCTGTTCCAGCAATTCATCAGAACAGGGTGCTTATAAAATGCCAACCAGAGTGGCCCAGCTCTTTTTCTCTGCTTCCTACTTGATTCCTGCATTCCATTGGAACTGGTTCTATTTCTCACAAGGTTCATTTGTCTAAGCTGGTGCAGCATTAACCAGGATAAACTCTCACTGAGTTTTTCATTCTTTAGGTCCATTCAAGAAAATGCAGAACTTTATCATTATCTGTTCACATGCTTTTCTTTTTCTTCTCTTTTTTATTTAAGGATTTTGCTATATGGCATGTGTACTTGCCAGTGAGAGAAAAAGAGACTGAGAGGGAAAGTGAGAAATCATACCTCTCCCCTGGGCGGGTTAGCGGGGGGAGGCCACACCATAATCCCTTTTCCTCTATTCTGTTCTTGGGACTTTGGCATGCACACACATAAGCTTGATGTGATTTTCAAGCTCCCAGGTCCAGGACTCAAGCTAGTCAGCCATGTGGGAGTCCAGAGCTTAACCACCAATGCCACATGCTTGCTCCTCACATGCTTTTCTTACTTATGAAGATAGAAACCAATGTTAGAAATCAAGACTTTTTTATGATTAGGTCATATTGATCACCAAAATTTGTTCTACTGGTATATGTAATTAAAATATACTCAATGTGTTGTATAGTTTTTATGTCTTTTCCCAACATAAGATAACCATCAATAATAGTCTGTTGAATACTAACAACTTTTCCTGTTTAATACAGAGGTTGTCTTCTCCTTTCTTTGTCTTCTAAGATGAAAATTTATGCACAGAACACACATGAAATCAATATTCATAGGCTCTTTATGATCTAGATACTTTTTTTCTACTCATCTTGATTTCTACATTCACCTTAACCTAGCCACTGTGAGCCACTTGGCATTCCCCAAAGTTGTTATTTTCTTTCACATCTCTGTGCTTCTATTGGTACCGTCCCCGTTAGCTGGCTTACCCTTTTTCCTCTTTTCTACCTGGTGAAGTCACATGTACATTTTAAGCTCAGGCACAGATATGACTTTGTTTGTAAAGTTTTGTCCAAATTTTTAAGCCAGTTCAGAATGTGTACAATAAATCTCTTTTTCACTCAATTATGAAAAGTTACAGCAGAAATCTTTTACCAACCTAAAGATATTCATAATCTCACACCTTATAAGCTAATATGGTATGCACTTTTTATTTGTAAGAGAAGATTTATTTATTTATTTATTTATTTATTTATTTTAGAGGTTTTTGCCATAGGGCGCGTGTGCTTGCCAGACAGACAGAGACAGACAGAGAGACATAAAGCGAGAAATCACCCACCGGGGGGAATGGCCACGCCGCAATCCCTTCTCCTCCATTCTCCTCTCGGGATCTTGAGCATGCACGCACACGCGCCCGGCGTGAGTTTAAGCCACCGGGTCTGGGACTCGAACCGCGGTTGACTACGTGGTAGTCCAGCGACATAGCCATTATGCTAACTAAGCTAGTCAGCCATGTGGGAGTCCAGAGCTTAACCACCAATGCCACATGCTTGCTCCTCACATGCTTTTCTTACTTATGAAGATAGAAACCAATGTTAGAAATCAAGACTTTTTTATGATTAGGTCATATTGATCACCAAAATTTGTTCTACTGGTATATGTAATTAAAATATACTCAATGTGTTGTATAGTTTTTATGTCTTTTCCCAACATAAGATAACCATCAATAATAGTCTGTTGAATACTAACAACTTTTCCTGTTTAATACAGAGGTTGTCTTCTCCTTTCTTTGTCTTCTAAGATGAAAATTTATGCACAGAACACACATGAAATCAATATTCATAGGCTCTTTATGATCTAGATACTTTTTTTCTACTCATCTTGATTTCTACATTCACCTTAACCTAGCCACTGTGAGCCACTTGGCATTCCCCAAAGTTGTTATTTTCTTTCACATCTCTGTGCTTCTATTGGTACCGTCCCCGTTAGCTGGCTTACCCTTTTTCCTCTTTTCTACCTGGTGAAGTCACATGTACATTTTAAGCTCAGGCACAGATATGACTTTGTTTGTAAAGTTTTGTCCAAATTTTTAAGCCAGTTCAGAATGTGTACAATAAATCTCTTTTTCACTCAATTATGAAAAGTTACAGCAGAAATCTTTTACCAACCTAAAGATATTCATAATCTCACACCTTATAAGCTA